TCAGCATCCTCTGCCAAATTGCATTACAGTATTGGTAGTATCCTTATTTGTTATAGCAGTTTCTTAGTCTTCTGACAAAAGACTTATCTTCCTCCCCTAGACAGTCATCTCAGTTCTGCAAAAATAGAGTACATGTAAGGACTACTTGGCTACAAATAAATTCAACAGTAATGAGTTTGCGTGTGTACAACATGTGCTACAGTATTTACTGTAGATGGAATAATGAAAGTTCTCTCATCTCAAGTACTGCTGCTATGTACTGTAATTATATTGTTTATTGTGTAAGTAGTATTGAAACCTTTTAGAGGAGCCTGTAGTAGGCCAACTTCCCTCATGGTCAGTCCATGCAGAAGAACATGGTCAACTATAGTGCTTTTTATTTCAACAGGAACAAATGAAATTTGACCTCATCCCCTTATTTTCCCCTCCAATTCCTCTTTGTCTCCCACTACCAGGATTCATTTTCCAAAACACATAATCATTTGTGCTCTTGTTCATTTCATCCTGAGATTCTGACCTGTGTGTCATCAGTTTTGCTGCTAAATGTTCACACATGGATAAATGTGTGCTGTTTGAGTTCATATTATATGAAACACAAACACACAATTATATTGTGTGTTTGTGTTTTCTGAATGAGAACATGGTTAAACCTGTGCAAAATGATAGCGTTTTTGTGTAGAGTTTTGCAGAAAACACTGACCAAACTGGAACGTGTGTGCAAACAAAGGAAAGTTTTGAGAAACGTGTTTGTGTTTCGAGAACTGTATGAATGGTTTGGAAAATTGGGCCAAATGAATCAGTTATAGCGTGTTAGCAATCGAGAAAAACTGTAATACATTTTGAACAGTTTGCATGTTTACAAAGGGTTAACATGTCAAAGATGTGTGAGAAAGAAACAGAGGACAACATCGCTCACAAAGTTCACTGGTAGACATTAAAGGATTAGTTCACCCAAAAATGAAAATTAGCCCATGAATTACTCAACCTCAAGGCATCCTAGGTGTATATGGCTTTCTTCTTTCAGATGAATCCAGTCGGAGTTAAATAAAAAATTGTCTTTGATGTTCCAAGCTGTTTAATGGAAGTCAGCGGGTGTTGCAGTGCATCAGTCCAAAAGAAGTGAAATAAAGCGCATTGATCCATAATAAAAAGTGCCTCACACGGCTCCGGGGGGGTAAACAAAGTCCTCCTGTAGCGAATCGATTCGTTTTTGTAAGAAAAATAACCATATTTAAAACGTAATAATGACTTTAATCTAACTTGCGCTCACTGTTGTAAACGGAAGAAGCTCCAGGCAGATGACGTAGTACGTCGGCGTTGCGCATGC